AAGTCGGGGGAGGGGGAATATAAGTCCTTCCCCCCCCACCCCCCCAATATCTTTTCCACAGCTAGATCCAATCTCTGTTGGTGTCTTCAGCTTACCACATGACCAAATATTTCTAGGTAGCAACTGCCTGCCTAGGAATATTTGATCATTACGCATAGCAATATCCAGTCAAGTATCAGCCTGTACGTGATGGGAAACCATCAGGAATTTAATCACAGCTGGAACCTAAAGTTTGTTATGTCCCAGAAATATCAGTGTATTTGAGGTATATTAAGAAGTAGCATATGATGTAAAAAACAAGATTAAACCCATAATAAGTCACAGAGAATAAATCTGGGAACAACAATAAAAACTAAAGGAAACACGATATTGGGAAGGGGGGAAATACTCCAGAAGGCAGTCTCAGTTTAAGTCAAGAAAAATCAAAATTTCAAAACAGTATTTCTAAACCCATCGCATTCAGACCACCTAGTATCCTACCCTTAAGACCACTCTTCCTGCCCCCATTAGTTCCACAAGCATGCCTAGAATTAAGAACTGAGGAGGATATAAAACATGGGTGCTGGGATGAGGGGGGAAAAGCGATTCAATGGCATTTAAACAAAGAAGCTTAACTATTTGCTCCTGGGGCTTTTACCGTATAGCTACCTAGGGCTGACATACAAAACGCTTTTTGTGGCCATTCGCCTGGTGGATGGCATGAGCTCCAGCACGTTACACCCACCCTGGAGCAAAGCGAACACACTGAAGCATCCTGGGAGCTTCTATGAGTCAAGAAAATCCCTTCAAAGGTAGGTGCCCCTCTATCGGTCCTGCAACTTACCCACAAAAGTCCTCACCATTTGAAGTGACATATATTTTAAGAGAGAGCGCACTTCAGGGGAAACAAAAGCTTCATGTTTCCAGGTTAATATAGTCACAAGGCAATCAGTTTTGTTTTGTTTTGTTTTGTTTTTTTTTATTAAGTACTCAGGCAACTACAGTGCTAACTCAGAGCCCTAGCTATTTGTTTAAATGTTATGTGCATGTAAACATATTTGTTTAGATAACAGTAACTACATTAGAAGAGTCTCCGAATGTATCCTGCAAAAATTTTCTCTTTGAAGTATTTCAAACAAATTTTGAACAGTTTTTCCTAATTTGAAGTGCGGACAATAACAGTTACGTGAGGTATTCAGATCTTTTCATTTTCCAGCAGCTAAGTACAGTCACATAATCTAGAGTCAAATGCAAAGTTTATCATTAAACCTAGACTGACAAACTATTTTATTAAGAACGAGAGCCATACTACTTCTGACTAGATCACTCATTGGCACTAGTTCTGTGCAGGTTAGTTTGAGATTTTTTTGCAATTTTATCCCATTTTGTACTAACACACGCAGTACATTTATTACAGTACGAAGTTTTCATTTGTCTCCTCTTATCTGTAGCTCTTGGGACCGATTGCATTGCAACCCAAATACCTCAAACGCTTCAACCCGCATCATTTCAAATGTTGCTGTTAAAACATTTATCATAGGAACATGAGAGATTGTCATTAAAAAAAAGCAACAGCTTTCAGCAGCAGTTAAAGCAAAGTAGACTGGAATACTGTAACATTGCAAAAACATCTCTCTTTGCTCCCAAATCACTACTCTAGGGCAAGTGTAGCCAAAATACAAGAGATTAAGGGCTGTGCTAATGACTAGAACTTCACTCTATGGAATTTGATGACAAATCTTCCTCTGATATCAAAACAGCTTGTGTTGGGCCTGACTTTAATTCATATTTCTTATCACAGTATTGTGATTTCGTTCCAAGAGACCTCTGTATGTGAGCAGCTCCATCTGACTTCAGTGGGAAGAGCCACAAGGCTTCTAATCAGAAATATGAATAAAAGCTGCAGAACCTGTCATAAAGTACTGTTATTTCTAAACCGGACCTCAGAAAGAACTGTCCATTTCCTTATAGTGCCAGATATTAGGAGAAGTTAACAAAAAGCATGATAAGAACTTTCCAAACTGTTTACTTACAGTACACGTCCACTCTTATGGACTTTATAGCTGGCGAACCCAAGCCATTTTCGGCCTTACAGTAGTAGCGGCCTCCTTGATGTCGCTGGATATTGGTTATCCTCAGAGTTTCATTGAAGACACTCGAGTCTTGAAATCTGTCAGAGGCACTTCCTGCTGTTTTGGTCCACCTGATCTGAGCAAGCACCAAAAAAGATTGTTACTTTAAGTCGTCTGTTTGTAAAAATGAGCACAGCATAGATCTCTACTGAACGGAGAGCTACATGTATAGTGGCCAGCATTTCACGTTGGAGGACTCGGGGAACTTCTCTGGAGAACTCAGAAGCACACACAGTCAAACACTTCATCCAGGGGCCTTGGCCGGTAAGCTTGTATTTATCATCTTATCTTAGAAATAGCTGATTATTTTTGACGGAAAAACCTCACAGAAAATACATGCCAGCAGGCAGAGATGTGCAGAACAACTCAAGCCACCATCAAAGACACAGCAGCTTCAACGGCTGCAGAAGAATTCTCCATTTCCCACAAGCAGAGCTCACTAGAAGAGCCTGGTTTACTGCTGCACTTAATGAAAGATGAGGGCACATTGGAAAACCCCTTTAAAACAGCTGATAAATTAATTATCTTTTAGGAGCCATAACATCCAATTTCAAGCAGTCAAACCATCAGCAGCTTGAAACTGCAATAAACTATGAACACAGATATTTCTTTAAACAGTATTTTAAAAAAAAGTTATTTACAGCAACTACAGAGTCTTTTACTCTGATAATTATTTTCCAAAACTGCAAAGACTTCTCAGAGCAAACATTTCTAATCCCAAAACAGACAGAACGTCTGTCCGTTACAAGAGCCTTCTTTTAAAGACGGTGACGCATAAGAGAAATGAAACAGTGAAATACAAAGTCTCTGTGGTACTGACTCACTAAAGAACTCCTCATTGTTGAATAAACAAACAAAATTCAACTAGTTGAGGAAGCTGCAAGAGATGCACTGGGCAGTAAAGAAAACTCTACACGCTGAGCCTAATATTCATTGCCATCACCCAGTCTGCTAAATTCACAGCTTCCAGCAGTGCTGTGGGCTACTCAGCAGACACTGGGAAACACCCCTCCGTTTTATGCCTGGGAACGCAAAATATCTGTAGAAATCAGACATGAGTAACTTGCCATATTAACCATAAAACAGGGCTCAGGTGAAAGCCCTCCAAAAGTGAATTCTTCCTCAGACCACCACCACGCAGCTGGGAAAGGGTCTTTATTCAAGGAAATCTGAATAGAAGCAAGCCTGGGTCACCAGCCTTAGGAAAAAAAAAATTAAACTGAAAAAAAAAAGAAATTATATTAAAGGAATATTGGAAGCAAAGTCCCAGACACAAATCGCATTAGTATATGGGAACCCTCTGTACTAGCAGATGGCAATCAAAAATGAAAGCAAGATCAGGCACAAAGAAATAAATTCATGTGTGCAAGGTCACTATAGTCACTGGAACCTACTCAGTGGAGTTCAGATATCCGCATTTGGTCCAGTGAATCTCACCTCAGACTACCCTCGCTTGGCTTACAGATATGATGGGGGACCCTGATCTAGATCCAAGGTGGATGTGCACCTTGTTAACATCCAAGGCTAGATGCTCCGAGTCCCAGTTGATGAGGGTTATACAGACAGAAACAAGCAGAGAGACTTCTCTGTCACCGAAATATCTTAATTTCCCATTGATTCAATGAGCAGGGCAAGCAATTCCAGGACAAAACTATTTTTTAAAGGGTTTTTTTTTTTTTCTAGGAAACAGAGGCTACAAATGGTATACTTGCATAAAGATGAGATTTCCCCATCTTGTGAAGCCTCTTGAGGCTCTGCCTTCTCCCCCTCCAGCCACTAATTCCTTGTCAGGATGAAGGCCAAAACTTCATAGTCATTTATAAAAATGAGAGCGCTGCACAAGGAAAGATAATAGATAGTTGGCTATCGGTTCCCAGGCTGTGGTCCCCAAAGACATGGCAAATTGTCCAAAGATGATCGGCCAAGCCACAGTTCAAAAAATAACATCTACATATTAATTTGTTGGCAGTTCCTAGGCAGGTTGTCTACAAGCAAATTCAAGCCAAGGTGTTCCTGTCCTGGCAGCTCCAACACCACCTGTGGGCTCTGTGCCCAGGGGAAGTGACACAGTGCCCAGTCCTGACCCAGGACCAGGGTCTGGAGCTCCAATGTCCTAGGCAGGAGCACGTAGACAGGCAGGTGTCAGCCCTCCTCTCATCAGAAATTTCTCCTGGACAGGAGAAACCTTTCACAAAATGCACTGAACTGAAAAATTCACGACCAGCCATAGCCTCTGTAAATTCTTCTCCCCTTGAAACGACACACTTGGGCTTCAGAAGCTGAAATTATAGTAAACAATATCCCCCCAAATTTTTCATCTCTTTCTAGCTGGTTAAATTCAGAAACCTAAGTGGCTTTACCCCCTTGCCGGGTGACCTGCATAACTCAGATGGTTTTGCTGCTCTGGAATAAAGCAAATACACCAAGCTCCCCATCTACAATATTCTGGCTGCGCGTGAGAGAGACAATATTAGCACTGCTATATTTACCAGTCTCAATCTGTCTGCACTTCTATTATAAACCCTTGGCTCCAGGGCTTAAATCATCCATAAAAATGTGCTCAGGATAATTTTGGAACACACAGTCAGCTTTAGCATTCTGCAGAATACAATTCCATCGTATATATTTCAAATGTTTAAGAAGTATTTTAGAGCAGTGTTTAAGAGCTTCACTGAATCTCTTGCATGTTTAGTTTCCCTATATTTCCTATCCTCCCTATATTTCCTCTATATATAATCATAATTGTAAAAACATTTCTGCTAGTTTTTTGACTAGAAAAAACTAATAGCAAGACATCCTTCTTTCTCCCCTTCCTCTCCCACAAAGAGTTTCAAGTGGAATTCAGCTTGCCCTGTCAAAAGAATATAGAATTTAAATAACGTGTTATATATGTATTATCAGCATCCGTATAACTAGTAATTTTTAAAAATATAGTCAACTTTTTTAGCCAGTGTCAGTTTTACCGTTTGTATGAACTCGTCTTCTCCCTACCTGCAAAAAGCTTAATATTCATATATTTATCTTGTCCTTGATATAAAGCATTTTAACATTAAACTGTTTGGCTCTAAAGACAAGTCGATTTTTCAACTTTAAAAATACATATGTATGTACGATTTAGAGGGAAAAGGAGTATGTTTAACCAATAATCTTGTAGTGCCTGAAGAATAAAAGGAGCAGAGTTAACTTGATTTTCTTTTAAAAGATATCCATCAAAAATTTAATTGGTCTGATTTAATTTCAGTTCATTATTTACCTTAGGTTTAACTCAACATATGCACAAAAAATAAGCTGATAATAATGTATTGCTACTTATTGAACGCGCTAAGCAATCAAAAAAATTGGGCACAGGAAAACCAGGTGGAAGCCTCAAAACCTCTAACACCAAACAGGCAGCACTTAGTTCATGGGTGGCTTCACCGTTGCAAGTCCCAGCGCTGCCTTCGGGTGCAGTCTATCTACCATCAAAAAAGGGAGACCATCAAAACCACCCTTGGAGGAGGTCCCTCTCCCGGCTCTGGTGTCCAGGTCCTCACCACTGCCTGATTAGGTGACCTGCTGCCCCAGCACGGACACTGGGAACAGAGGCAAAGGGAGACCAAGGGCTCACAGCAATTCCTCTGGTAGGCTATTGGCCTCAAATCCCAAAATTACATTGACACTTATTTATGGCAGAGTATTCAGAAGATCTCTAAATTGCTTCAAAAAAATCAAACAAAACAAAGATAGCATATTCGCCTAGTTCAGATGCCATTTTTCTGTCCTAAGATTCAGGTTGTAGGTGGGTGTTGTTTTTTGTTTTTTGGGGTTTTTTTTTTTTGCACATTTAAGTAAAACATATGCAGAAGTTAGAGCCAAGTTATAAACAAATCAGTTAAAATTTATTCAGTTTAAAAAATGTCTATATTTAATAAGTTATGTGTAGCATGATCTACATACTTGTCTGATTCATATAAGCCCACAAGCTCTCTGAACCATCAACATCCTTGACACTATTTTAATGACTTAAGCAGGTATCCTGGGACACTCGGTCATATTTCACCCTGCAGTTCCAGTTTGCTCAGCAAGCTTTCTTGCAACTTGGAGTAAGGTTAACAGAGCTTAAGTTTTTAGCACACAAATGCAGATTCAGAAAAAAAAGTCAAAATTTTGCATAATTTTCTCAGCTTCAACAAACCCTTTGTGCTGAAAAGAGAGAGCAGAGTAGGAAAAATACTTAATTTTGACATTTGCAAAATGCAACATTTTCATGGCAAGCACTGCTTTTGTCAAGTCCAATAAACATTAAAATATCTTTAAAACGATTTAGTCTGAAACAAAACATTTTGCTTGGTTCAAAAAACAAACAAAAAAAACAAAACACCCCAAGCCCTGATTTCCTGAAAAATCCGTCTTTTTCGAAGTTTTGATCGCAAGGCCTTTGGAGTGCCTGGCTCCTCCAGCCTTGGCGTCCGAGCTCAGGCGACGAGCAGGCAGCGCGCTGCAGAGGTGGCACCGTGTCCACACGCCAGCGGTGGGAGCACGGCAAATCCTCCGTCCGTAAAGGAACACCTCAAGCTGGGTATGAGCAGCGTGCTCACAAAAACAAATGCAAAGAAAACTTCTTTTTTATTTTTTTTAATATATATCTATACTCCAATAAGTAACCCTACAAGAATACAGATTTACAGGCCACAGTGCACCACAGATATCTGCTCCACCGCTCCCAAAGGTATTAGTGTCATTTTATGCCAAGAACGCTTTGGCAGAGCCAGAGGATCCTTTTTTGGCTGCCATTCAATGCTTGCAATAGATTGAGTGTTGGATTTTTTCCCTTTTTCCATGCAAATAGTTGGTGGGAAACAAAGTCTTTGACAAGCCTTTTCTCATACCGGAACATTGAAATCTGCCTAGCACAGCAATTACAAGTGACTATGTTCCTTAAAATATACCCGGCGCCCAGGCTGGGGGCTGGTGCCGAGTCTCCCCTGGTGCTTTGGAAAAAGCCAGATTTAAAACAAACAAAAAAGTAAACTTCATTTTTCCACTGGATTGATTTTGTTTTCAGGCAAGAAGTTCTTGTCTGCCCGATAAGCACAGAGGGCACATTACGCAAACGGCCCTTTTGGGGCCAGGAGGTATGCAGAAAGTGACTTCTACGCTTGAGGAATCCATTCAACGCGTTTCTGAGCGTACGCCTCTCCCCTGCCTCTCGCTGCTGCGCGTCGGGGACAGGACCGCACTGCGGAGGCACCCCAGCTCACCGGGAACGGCTCAGCCGGGGGTCTAGCCACAGCCCCCGCAGGCCTACCGCTGCTGCTCGGTTAGACACACTAGTGCTTCACGTAAGCATTTAGACCATATGGCTAAAACTCTTCTATAACTTGGCTCCAGTTTACATCTGAAGATCCATCACTCCCACCCTACTCAGTGACTCAAAAAATAAAAAAAAAAAAAAATCCAAAAATAGCCACCAAAACCCCCACAAACAAAAAACCCTGGAGAGGCACTCGGGATCCGACTCTTCCTTGCCTTCACCAGGAGAGACCACTCCTACCTATAAAGAGTAAAACAAGCGGAGTATGCTTTACTCCAAAACAGCCTTTCTGGCACCAAGCTCCCCCGCTATCCTGCTGTCCTTCGGTGATCAGCAAGCTGACAGTCGCATCAAATCAACACCGCCCTGGGTCTCTAAATACCCACTCTCAGGTCAGCGGAAACAAACCGCAGAGACGATGCCCACAGGAGACAGCCCCTGTCTGATCCAACAGCGCTCAGCTGGACTCCAAAAGGCACTGACTTTTCAAAGGACGAGTTCACTCCAGCAAACCTGCCCAGCGTTCACCAGGTGATCCGCAACGTA